TATAGATGTTCATATGTTGAGACCAATTTACGTCTTGATTAAATATATATATGAATTTTATATTTTAATGAAAGTATAAATATTGCAATTTTTAATTTAATTTTTTAAAATTTGATAAATTTATAAGAAAATATCTTATCATCATCCATAATAATATCCATAATATAAAAATATTCAAAATACAAATTAATTAAAACCGAAAAAACTAAGCATTAAAGTTTATTTCTTCGAAGAGATCGGAACCAGTCTGCTCCGCACATTGCTCTAAATCCACCTGCTCTTACGGAGTGGGGCCGCGGTTAAAGCTCAGACGTAGAGCCTTCCACGCAGAGGCAACAGACGGGTTTACACCGAGGTTGTCTCAAGGACATATTTGCCATAGCCTTAAATTTGTCCTTGTGATCGGCTATGACTAGGTTGGCAGCTACCAAATCCCTCGAAAGAGAGGAATCTTCTTCTATTCTTCCAGCATGTTCAGCTCTCGCCCTCGGGACATCGTTCACAGTCCCGATCTTAACTATACGTCCCCTTCTCTTCGGGACAACCTTCAATTAATGAATGGATATTAATTAATTAGTAAATACGTAAAAACTAAATTAAAAATTAAAAATGTATATAAACATAAATTTAAAAGATCAATATTTTACCTGCTCGAATTTTTTTCTTGTTCAGTGGTGGAAAGCTGGACCGGTGCACCTTCCAGATTTTGTTGTGACAACTCACACGTTCAATATTTAATAAAAAATAAGAAATATCATAGACGTACAATTTGTAGTGCCTTCCCGGCGTGTGGAGTCTGTCCGGAACTATGAGGTATTGGCGGGCTACCTTCAGTATCACGGGTCATCTGGACATAAGAGCACTTGAGAGACCTTTCTACTGACCTTGAGAGACCTTTGTACAAACTTCATTTCTGAGGTAGGTTTCTTTTGCGTCATCCCCCATAACCCTCCAATTTTCCTTCCAATCACCAACACTGTTCTTTATGCGAGCCATTGCCTTTTTTTGTAAAACTCTTTCTTCACCTTTTCGTTGACACCGTTGGACTAATTCCATTTTTGCTACAAAAAAATCATGAAAAAACCTTAATTAATTAATCAAATTATTAATTTTTAAATCAAAAATGAATAAAATTATATTTAAAACTAACCGCGAAGCACTTGCACCAAGTAACGCGAACATGGTCCGGTGTAAGAGACCAGTTCGGATGCACTTTCCGGAAGTTTCTCCTGATGATATCTCCAACGCTTTATCCCACACAATTGTCCATCAAAAACCTACAAAATTTAAACGAAAACATATATTTACACCAATATATATGATTAATTGTTATATATAAAATAAAACTTAAATTAATTTTTTTTTAAAATAATTACCAAAATGTGTCGGATGGTCGATCTCATAAACCTTTTCGTCCCGACATCCAGAGAATGTCTTCCATTGTATCTCTTGCATATGGTGCATTCGGTGGCGCCATCAAATCTGGATGAACAGATGTAGGAGCCGGAGCATCTGTAGGAGCTGGAGGCTGATGTGGAGCCTGGTGTGGAGGCAGCTGTGGAGCCTGGTGTGGAAGCTGCTGTGGAACTTGCTGCGGAGGCTGCTGTGGAGGCTCATCATATGGAAAGTATGCAGGAGTGTCATCATATGCGGATAGTATGGAGATACGGGGTCGTATGCATGTGGAGGCACATACGGAACACTAGGAATTTGGCTCTCAGGGTCATTTTCTTGGTCGGATGATGTGCCGGAGGTAGAAGCTGATTGATTCGACTGACCGAGAAAGGTACTTCCGTAAGATTTTCTAGGCACAAGGTTCCTAAGTCTATTTCTACCGCTAGCCATAGCAATATCATCAATCTGAATTTTTTTTAGAAAAATATGGATGGTTATAAACAATTTAAATTTATTATATAAAAATATATAATCTAAACATATTCTAATTCCATCATAATCTAACTCCATCCTAGTCTACTTCCATCCTGAACTAATTCCAAACATAATCTAACCACCTAACTAACCACCTAAAGCTAAAACTAAAACGAAAACAAAAAAAAAACAAAAAAAAACTTACCTAGAGAAAGAAGTGAAGTCGTTGTTAGAGAGAAGTGAATGAGCAACCAAAATGCTTCGGTAAGGTCCGAGTATATATATAGAGATTTAGGCTTAGTAGTCAATGAGTTGTAATATTACGACCAATGAGATACTAGTAGTCGTAATTGAGTCTGTAAAGAACTGCTCGTATTGTTAACTTTGTTCTTATTGAACAATTATATAACTGCACTCCTGTTGACAATAATTCCTTCAATTCTTCTATCAAAGGCTGTAGAAAAACATCCAGGGACCTCTTCGATGCTTTGGCCGAGTATCAATATACTCATGAAAAGCAATTATTTTTCGATACACATCTCTGGTGGAATGTTTTATGGCGTCAAGAAGATTGACCAAAGTGAGTATCGTCTTCCAGACATTCCAAATGGACTAAAAGCCATATGTGCAGAGCCCAAGATAAACATTGCGGGGGTTGCTTGCAAAATCAGGGTACACCGAATTCAAGTGTTTCCACTCTTTTGCATCAGAGGGATGATTAAGCTCGCCTTCCTTCTGAGTATGTTCCGCATGCCATCTCATCGATGGTTCCGTCCTCTTAGATTGATATAATCCCTTCAGTCTATCCTTAATAGGTAAGTACCACATCCGCTGGTACGACACCCTATTCTGTCCACGTCCTTGTGGCTTATATCGTGGCTTCTTGAAAATTTTACACTCTAACAATTATGTATTGTTTCCCCGGTATATCATACAGTTGTCTATACACATATCAATCCTCTCCGAAGGTAAGCCAAGACTATGCACCAGTTTCTGAATCTCATAATAAGATTCAACACACAAATTATCTTCACGCAAATACTCTTTAAACAACTCACCCATGCATCCATACAAATTTCAGGTAATTATGATCAGTTTTGATATTCATCATCCTAGCTGCCAATGATAATTTAGAAAGATCTTCTCTACAACCTTCATCAATGGGATCCTTAGCTACTGCTAGCATTTCATAAAATCTTTTTTCATCCAAGTTAGACCCCTCTACATTTTCTACCTCCTCTATTACTGATGTTGTTTCACGAAATGCATCTGTAACCATATCATGCATCCTATCAAGATCTACCATATGATCCTCTTGAAGGTAATTTTCAGAAGGCAAATGTGGTTCTTCTCTGTTACGAACATTTTCAATATGATTAGTACTACTAGCTTCATTCCTATTATCACCCTATCCGTGGTTAAACCAGATATAGTAATGTGGAGTAAATCCTCTATTTACTATATGTTTCTAAACCGTTTCACTAGCAGCAAACTTTGTATTATTGCATTTATGACAGGGACATAACATTTTTACATGTTTCATGTGTGAGAGACTTCTGTTCGGCCTGGTACATGAATATCTATGCTCTTTTTAGAAATTCCTTTGTTACTCTTCCCCTTGAATCTTTATGCGCATGCATCCAACTTCAAAGCTCATAGATATTGCCAAACTTTTTTTTTTACTTTTTTTTCGTTTTTAGGCATCTTAAGAATGAGGGAGAAGATCATATTTATAGAGAAATTTCGATTTTGGTGGATAACAATGTTACAAAGAACTTACGTTTGATCATACTAAACCACCAATGTACAACTGCTTCTCTCGTATTTTGGTCGTTAATCAGATGCTAACTATTTGATGTAAGTTAGTTGTATTACGACTACGTTACGACTAATGGTAAATAGAGTCATAAATGAGATGTAATTTTACGTCTGCTTTACGACTAAATGTTCTAGTAGCAAAATTTCCAACTTACGACGAACTCTATAGCAGTCGTAATTTAGATGTAAAGTCGATGTTAATTTACGACTACACATTTGTAGTCGTAAAGTGTGGTCGTTACTCCTGTGTTCTCATGCAGTGTTTATTTTTGTACAATATAATCCAGAGGATAACATCCTTAACTTTTCCAATATATGTTTCTTCTCGGATTTAATGCAAATATATTCAATGCAATTTTTACTCATAGTTTCAATATGATATATATTTCTCCGGATATTCTTAATTAATTTCTCTGAGACTCGAGAGAGTTATGCATCACTTATTTCAAATTTTGTCTCTTTAGGCATTGAAAAACTGACTCTTCGAGAACCCAACTAATCTTTGCACTAACATAATCTCTTATTTGAGACTGGACAAATATTTATTATCTTTAATATTGTCTGTGTTGGCAAACTACGTGCCAAAATATATCTCTATCTAAAGTCTAAAAATCTAACATTGTTTGAATTTAAAATATTCATAAAATATGCTTTAATATGCAACATTACATAAAACATAACAAATATCTTACAAAAAAATATAGATAATATAATACAATAAATGTTATCTTCTTTTGGAAGATAACCATTACATCAATTGATTATATCTCTCATCGATACTCTCTAGATCAACTTGAAAGTCTGGAACGTCGAGATGAGTATCATCATTTAAACCATGAAATGATGACTTTGGTTCAACAGAGGTGAACTTTCTTTCTCTATTGCCTTTGGGATTTTCTTTACAGATTAGATAAATGTTTAGTTCTACGACAACCATGAACACAATCTATTATCTGTTTGCCTTTTATCATCCGGCCACTTCCATCTCCGTGGAAAACCACCGGCCATTTTGAACGGAAAACCAAAAATAATGTAGTTTGGTTCGGCTGGTCCGGTTCGGTTCAAATCCGCATGGCTAAGTCAAATTGTCCAAGTTATCAGAAATCATACTATTAGGCTGAAAAGGACCGTAATATTGGGTTTATTGTGAGCCTTTCTTGTTGGGCCATAACCACAAAGCGAACATCGAAATGGAGTTGGAGAAGGTCTCTTTAACCACCGGGTTTTAAGCCGCGAACTCACTCCTCCGCTTATGATATTTTCAAATATAGCTAATAAGCACAAAGAGAGAGAAAGAAAGAAAGAGCAGAGAGATGACGTCACAGAAGAAATTCATCTTCGAGGTGGAAGCAGCTAAAGAAGCCACCGATGGAAAACCCTCCATTGGTCCTGTCTATCGTAGTACTTTCGCCAAAGACGGTTTCCCTAACTCTATCGACGGGATCGACAGCTGTTGGGATATCTTCCGGTCGGTGACATTCTCGTTTTCCTTTTTATCTTTAAAATAATCTGTTGATGTTATTAGACTTTAGCTTTTCTTTTTGTCTCTGTCTCGCTGCATTGCCATTTCTTGGAGGATTCTTTTGCGGAATGGTGCTGATGATGCGTGATCGTAATGTCTTCCTCCTTCTTTTTGGTTCTTTTCTTAATTACCCTGAATGTTGTTTTTCTTGTAGCACGGCTGTTGAAAAATATCCAAACAATCGCATGCTTGGTCGACGTGAGATTGTGAACAACAAGGTGTACTTACTACCCTTTTTCTTTTGTTTGGATTTTAGCATTGTGATATATTGTGTCTCCAAGTTGATAGATTTTGTTTCTTCTCAGGCAGGAAAGTACGAGTGGAAGACATACAAAGAAGTATATGACATTGTCATAAAAATTGGAAACTCTCTCCGTAGCTGCGGGATTGAGCAGGTTCATATTTCATATCTGACATCTCTAGTGTCATAATTGCCTAAATGTGATTCTTTTGTACCTTAGTATTTTTTTTCCTTTTCGGATGTGGAAATGTAGGGAGGAAAATGTGGTATTTATGGTGCAAATTGTCCTGAGTGGATCATAAGCATGGAGGTACGTTGACCGTTATAAACTTTGCTAATATATCGTTTGATTTCTTTTGCTCTGTGGATTCAATGGTGCAACTTCTGATGCAGGCATGCAATGCACATGGGCTCTATTGTGTTCCTTTTTACGATACTTTAGGTACCTTCAAGATAATCAAGTTTTTTACACTCTTCTTAAGCTTACCCAAAATATGCTTTGTTTTGGTGATTCTACTCTTCTGAGTCTTTCTGGTGTAGTAACGTCCAGTTTTGAACACAGGCTCTGGTGCCGTGGAGTTTATTATTTCCCATGCAGAAGTTTCCATTGCTTTTGTAGAGGAGAAAAAGATTCCTGAGGTATCTTTCTTTTGTGTCATATATTCTATCGTGACTTACAATAACTCCTGAGTTAGCCCAATTCTTCTGACATTATTGAGATCTACACATTTGAATTATTCCTGTGGTTAACTTCATTTTCCGTTCAATTGTCAGCTTTTTAAGACATGTCCAAACTCCACAAAGTATATGAAGAGTGAGTCATAATAACTGATTCGTTCAACCTTTTCCTGTTCTCTAAACTTGTAATGCTAATGATTAACTGTGTTTGAATAAAAATGCAAAGCTGTTGTGAGCTTTGGCGGTGTCAAAACGGAACAGAAAGAAGAAGCTGAAAAGTTAGGACTCGTCATACATGCTTGGGATGAGTTCCTGAAACTGGTAGGAGACTTTCGTTTGCGTTATTCTGAAATTCTTGACTTCTTTACTCATTTTCTTGATGGTGATCATTCATAAATAGTATAATATCTGTAATCTCCTTTAGTAATATTTTTTTTTGTTCCTCTGTGACAGGGTGAAGGTAAACAATATGATCTTCCCGTTAAACAGAAAAGCGACATTTGCACAATCATGTATACTAGCGGAACCACTGGTGACCCAAAGGGAGTTCTGCTGTCGAACGAGAGCATTGTTACAATAGCAGCTGGAGTGATGCATTTCCTAGCTATTTTTAACGAAAGCGTGAGATTTCTTCTTTTTTAATTTGTCATGATTCTCAGTGATGATGCAACTTTGAACTGAAATGTTATAATTTCTGTCTGCCAAAATAAAATAAAAAACAGCTAACTGAGAAGGATGTCTACATATCTTATCTTCCTCTTGCGCACGTCTTTGACCGGGCTGTTGAGGAGTGCATTATTCAAGTTGGTGGTTCAATCGGCTTCTGGCGCGGGGTGAGGACATCTCAACATTCTGATCTTCGAAACCACTTGTGTATTTGTTTGCTATGTCTTATGTTCTGCGTTCAGGATGTTAAGTTGTTGATTGAAGACCTTGGTGAGCTAAAGCCAAGTATTTTCTGCGCTGTCCCTCGTGTCCTAGAAAGAGTATACACAGGTATTATCTTTTCTCCAGTGTTAAGATTTATTCAACTATTTATATGTTAACTTATCATGCTGTTCATCACCAATAGGGCTGCAGCAAAAACTTTCTGTTGGTGGTTTCTTCAAAAAGAAGGTTTTCAGTGTTGCTTTCTCCTAGTAAGTCAGGCTTTCTCTGTTTACCTATGACTTGTGTTAAACGTATATTGATCTAACACATCCAAAACGTTCTTAGTAAATTTGGAAATATGAAGAAGGGGCAGTCTCATGTCGAAGCCGCTCCTTTCTGTGACAAACTTGTCTTCAACAAGGT